GAAACAGGATCTTGGAACAGCTTTGATATGAATTGCCTGGCAGAAAGAGGAGCTATCTGCAAAATGAACTCACATTCAGGTTGCATCCGTGGAAAGAATGCTAGGATGAAAGGATCCACTGGAAATCTTACCTGAGGAATCTCTCCTGGGCAAATGTTRAGTAACTAGTTAGATTACCTTAGGGCATGAGGAGGTTGGAGCAAGCAGCTCTGTCATTTTCTTGTTTATTAGGCCTGAACCTTTTTCTGAAGTCCTCATGGCAACAGGTTTGTTACAATGAAGTTTAAAAAGCATTAGGGGTGCATGACTCAGTTGATGAAATTTGCTGATTTAAGAGATGGATCCTCTCTTCCTTCAAATGGGAGCTAGAGCCAAATATTGGCTGCCTTTTTCTTTTAATTCTTTTTTTTTTAAAAAGGTAGTTAAGGTTTCCAGATTACCCAGCATAAATAAGGTAACCACATCCTGATTAAAGTCTGGCTCCTCATCCATGTTCTAAAGACTAATATGTGTTTTGGGGTAGAATGAAAGATAGCATGCCTGTTCCTGTTATAAATGGCATTTTTTGCTAGCCAAGATTTAGTCCAAACAATGATTTATTTTATTATTTATTTCAYAAGCATAGGAGAAGGAAAGGGTACACTGCATTAATGAGCTACACAAGGGAGAATGTTTACAGACATTAAAACTAACATTTTGGCACTTTTTTCTGATGTCTTCAGTTTCTATGGAGTTGGATTTTTCCTTTCTGCTCCCTTAGCAGTTTCCTAATGTTTTTTTGGCCRTGCAGTGAATCATGGTGTTAATTCTGCCAGAGTTAACAATAAGTCTTCTGGTTGGGACATGATCACTCTTCTGTGGTGTCTAAAATCCAGGGAATGGATGTCCTTTCGAGAAGCAATCTGGGGCATTTTGAATCAGATCACTATTTTAAACCCATTCAGCAGGGGATGTGTTAGCCTCAGAATAAATTTTTGGCAGCAGCCATTGAACTGTGAGCTGAAAATGCAACAAATATGTAGCTCTCTGCAGAAGCTTTTAGGATAAATGTGAGGTGAAATTAATCACTGATGTGTGCCTATTCTTGTTATCTGAAGTTAATCACAAAGGCWTGTCGCATTTTATTTTTTTTCTCAGCTTCTGAGTTTTGGATTTTTCCTTTCTGGCTCAAAATTGAAACTGTTGTACTCCAATGAAATACTCTGAGATTTTAAAGGAAATATAATTTCAAATTTTATCTAGATTTAAAGTGAAATAAATCACTTGCATTCTTTTCTGATGCAGCTGCTGAATTGAAAACAATTCTTTTATTCAGCTCTGGCTTTTTAGATCCTAAATGGCATTTATTTTGAAAGATCCACAAGAGCAACAAATAATATATGTTTAGTTGGTATTAGTTTTATTTGAAATCTTGCAAGGGGTTTGATTATACCCATGTGGGCTTAGTTTTTCTTGTAAGTAAATAGTGTGGATTGCCCTGTGTTCTTTTTGAGCACATGTGGTATTAAAGGGGAGGAGGATAAAGAGAAAAAGTTCATTCCTTCAGCTCTGAAAATAACGGAGTGCATGAAGCATTGTAGACATTTGTACAGAAAATTAGTAGCYTGGATGGAAATTATTCTGCACTGCWTGGAAATGTGGGGTTTTGGCAGACTACCTTTAAGCAACAGATACAGAGTAACCACTGTGGGCTGCCCTATGGATAGGAAAGGAGGGAAAAAAAGGAGGAAAAATCGACTGTTTATTTCAAAATRGAAAGTGCAAGAAATGGCGAAGTCAGTCACATTTTCAGCACCTCCCACTCTATTGAATGTCACTCTCTCAGCTCCTGCTGTGGCCCTCTGAATCTGGAGGTGGAGATCTGCAAAGCTCCATGATTCTTCAGCGGTACATAAATAAATAGGAAATTTCTTGYTCTTCATGACTAGGGACTGGGAACTGAGAACAGGAAAACCCCTCTGGGCACTTTGAACCTCTTACAACCTTCTTGAGAGCAGAATATTCACTCAGCTGAGCACAAAGACAAGKAGTGGGGATCCTCTCTGTGGCCCCCTTGTTCTCTTGTCTGGGAAGGCAGTGGCTTTCACRGAAAGCTGGTGCAGCCCTGGAATTCATTAAAAAGAGGAGACTTTAAATGATTTTTACTTCTGCATAAGCCATGAAACGCTTGCAGTGGTACAGTACATGTGGGACTGGTGTTAGCRCTTGTAAGTGGCTCAGGAAAATGGGTTGGGACTCCAAAAGCTCCCTGAACAGTTTTGAGAGCTGCAGAAAAGGCCTCACCAACAGAGCTTTGCCTCCTTGCTGCCTAGCTTATTATCAAAAGGAAGATGGGGAGGTAATTTGATTAGCGTGCAAAATAACTTGCTCAGGGAGAAAATACCAGGTTGCCAAAGAGATCTTTAATCTAATGGAGACAGGCATAACAATACTGACTGTGAAAGCTGAGGCTGGGTGATGCAGATAGAAAATGAGACCTTTCAAGTTCTCCTTTTTATAAAAGCACTTAATGGCCACTGACACCAGCTACCAAACATGGTCACAAGTTGTCCACCTTTGTAGAGCCTCCGTGTTCAGTCTGTGTGTGCTGCTGGGCTAAATGCTGAGTTAGAAGAGGGGAAATGCTGTCAGCTGCAAGAAGAAATCAGGCCAAGTGTAGTTGCTGCCAGCCTTGTGTTCTGCATCCCTGAAGCTGGGCACTCGGCAGTGGGACAAGTGGAGAGGTCTGGCCTGAGGCTGTAGTGCTGGCAGCTGCTTTGTGAGCTTCGCTTCTGCCCCTGCACAACCCTTCTGACAACGTTCCAGGTCAGAAGAATTGGCCTCTTCATCTCTGTTTAAGCTTTATCCCAGTTTGGAAAAAAGCAAAACAACCCCAGACTATTTAAACTGTCTTCTGAACAGTAATGATTCCTAATTATTTAACACGTCTGGTTCTAGATTCTCAAAGAATTGTAATCAACTGAGACTTTACAGTTGGCAAAGTTGTATTAAAATTTGTGTCCTCACTGTAGTACCCAGAAAAGTGCCAGAATTAATTGTCTYATCACAGCGAAGTCCATGAACACTCCTCCAGCAGTGAACTGGCCAACAGGATAGCCAAGTACTTTGCCAAATGTTGGGCTCAGTCACTTGCAGCTGCAGAAACCAAACTTAATCCTCATCATAAGAAGCAAAAACCTCTTATCTGTCTACAGAGACAAGAGTTTCTGGTTCTCAYAGGATGCTTCAAAATGGTCCATGACCATCCTCCTCTGGCCTGTTTGGAGGAGATGTTGCCCTCTAAGTCTTCCAACAGGTGTTGGATCTTGTGCACAAAATGCTGCTGCTGCCATTTTAACATTCCCTCTCTTGTCCAGATGAGCACCATGCCAGGACTTCCTACAAGACCCTGCTTCTATGATATAGACCTGGACCCAGTGTCAGGAGGAGTAAATGGGCTCTTCTGAAAGGAATGGTTAACCAAAGGTAGGTGCCTTCTTGAAGTCTTTCAATATTTGAGCTTTATTTCTCATCTTGAGATAATGAAGTTAAACCAATCCCCATATTATGCCRTGTGTTTCCAAATGACGTTTGATTGTAATTCAGCCTGAAAGTTGCCTGCAGTACTATATAMTAGTAATTAAATTTTATTTTTGTTTTTAGCTCCCAGAAGAACACCTGATGAGTCATGTAAATGGAACTGTGCTCTGATCTTTTTTTTTAAAGTCAGAACAAGATATGAGTGAGAATGTAGTGCAAGAAGCGACTGGAAGGAGGAGTGCTGAACAATCAACCACTAACTTTTAATCTGTAATAATTTTTAAACTGCTGTGTTCCAAGCTAGTTGACACTGAGCCTATAAAGCCTACTTCCTCTACAGACCTCCCGCTTCATAAYTGTAGCTGCAGCAGAATACAGAAGCTTGGGTTTAATGACCTCTTTTGATTCAATGACATGATTTTAATAATTAAAAATCCTAAAGCTGGAGCTGCTTGAAACAGTCTTGGGACTTAATTGTCTTAACCATYGGGGTTTTGCAGCATATATTATATCTTTGAAAGTCTTGTTGGCTGCAGTTTCCCGTTTGCCGCACGGAATTCTCTGTTCCACTTTGGGAGAACCTGCAGTGCCCTGACACTGCACCAGTGTTGTTTCAAAGGAACGAGGAGGAATCCCTTCACTTCCCAACGCTCTCCAGAAGTGCTTACCCTGGTTTCTGCTGTGAATTATTCCTGCAGGCACCTGAGCAGGCATCAGATAGCCCAAGCCCAGCAGTGACTACTGTATTCTACTGTCAGTGGAATGAAACCTCTGGATATCAGATCTGGAAGARCTGGGTCTCTGGCCTGTATCTGTGGCTTCTATCATATGTGTCCTTTGAACCATTTTCTGCTCAACCATAAGTGCAGTTACACYGAAGGTACCTTTCTGGTCAATACAGACAACGCAAATAATGATCAAGTGACTTGTAGCATGTTTTGTCAGCAGGCCAAAACTCATTTTGTAACATGATGAATCATGTTGCTGCCAATTTTTTTAACTAATACAAATAAACTGGCAAATACTTCAAGTGCTTTTTGGGTTTTAATGTGTGCACTGAGATTACTGAATTAGAATTTATTTTTSTGATTAACTGCACACAACAGCAATCCTTGTATTGACAAGTAGGAGTGATTATTGCAGTAATAAGTAGCCTGCAATGCACCAGGGTGTGTGTGTTTTAATCTGGTTTCCTTCCCTAGATGATGCATGTCATGTATAGGAAATAAACTACCTGAATTATTCTGTGAATTTGATATCCTTGCAGCTGACTGCAGAATATCTGAATTAAGATTCGTGAGGCCCATCTGCTTGTATCAGAACTGAATCTGGAAACATTCTGAATTTGGTGAGAGCTGGGAGGAGCAGGACGTAGGTGTACACCAACGTAGGGGAGCATCTGTAGTACACAGATACTGTGTGTGAATTTATACATATATATATATGTATATATATATATGGAGAGAAAGAGATGAAAGAGATCCATATCTCCTCAGTTATTCAGGAGGGGAGAATAATTATATAAAAGTTACCTGGTTGTGACACAAGCAAGAGAGAACACTTTAAATGGGAGCGCTTGAGATGCATTCACAGTCTGATAAAATGTTCCTTTTGATGTTATATTATCCAGCCAAGGATTTCCTGGCAGCCAGGAGGGCAGGCTCAGTTCTCTTGCAGGGGGTCAGGAGGGGTTCCCCCACTGCTGCCCAACCCCCCTGTCTGGCTGAAGGTGCCTCTTCACCTGCAGCTCCTGKGCCCAGCCTCCCCTGGAAGCAGGTTCCCAGAGCGGATGCTGCCAAGTCTGCTGTCAGTTCCTACATTTAATCTTCCCTGCTACAYTGCTTTCCTGAGAGTGCTCTGTGTTCCACCTTCATTTTATGCTTATGAAAGATGGGATAAGTGCAAATTTATGCTAAGATTAGCCTCCTTTTTAGTTTAGCATGAGATCATAGCCATGTGCTTGAGAGAGATGGTTCAAGAGGTTGCTAGTCCCCCTCCCGCAGTGAGGCACAGCACCGGATCAGGCACGAGCTGTTGAAGGGTTTGCTACACAACAACAAAGCACAGGGGCTGAAAAATAGCCCCGAGCATCTCCAGAGATTAATGGGGAATGTTTTYTAACCTGCACTTCCAACCTCTCTTCTCTTGCAGGATGGATAGATAAATAGGTTATTTTTTTAACACTCTCCTTTGCRGCTAAGGGTGCCAGCTAGGTCTTGCCCTATCAAATAGGACACGGAGGACACTTAATTTCTTCTAACAAAGTACTGGATGGTTGTCTTCTCCTCCTGTTGCCTAGAGAAAAAACTGATTATGTACAAATTTGTTCTCTATGGGCTATTTGTGGGCTCAGTGTCCTTAGCTGGTGTTACGGCCATCCATTCCCTGAGCTGTGCTGTTGTGAGAGCACTGCATCACATCCTATAAGAAATAACACAGATTTATGTTTTTAAGCGGTGCTGGAGACAAGAAAGAGGAGAAGGTGTTGCTTGGGTGACTTGTTGCACTGTCACCAGCAGTTGAGTGTGGACCCAGAAAGAAAATGGGATCCAGCTGGGCCAGGATCTTCTGAGCTTACCCAACTTGTGAGCTGATCCTTTGCTTGCCACAGACCCATTAAATGGTTTTTATTTCCCTTCCCATCTGCCCCTGGAGCACCAGCAATAATACAAAGTGCTCCCAAGGGGATTGATGGCAGCTTGCCTCCATCACACCACCGCCTTCCCCAGGCTCAGGTTAGCCATCCTCGCTGTCTGCTTCCCTCCCTCTTGCCTCCGACTGCAACGGGGAAAAGCTCCTTGCATTGAAGGGGCTCACTTGGCTTTAATAAAGAAGTGGATCATAATTATAACCCTCTACCCCCCTCAGGAGAGAAGCTGTTTCCAAATTAAGTTTATTATCATGAGTGAATGTGAGCAAACACCTCTCCCAGGGGAGCTTTTAAAAAGGCAATTCTTTATGATGCTCGATGCACTTTTTCTGCCCCTCTAGCTGACATTTCAACCCAGCTAACCCATTTTGTAYCTTTTTTTTCCCCATRAAGAAGCCGAGGGAGGGGGGAGGCCATGTGTTTTTCTAAGCCTGGCCTACACTGGAAGCCACTTGCAAGTTCAAAGTGCTGCTTTGCCCTGTTTCTCATGTGCAAACGTGCTGTGAAGCAGTTAATGTCTGTAAAACCTTTGTGGGCGGCAGCTCCCGTGGAGATGAATRGGGATGTTTGGGCATCTCAACTAGTTTCCTGTAGTTCATCAGCGGCACTGGGTTCTCCTTTTTTCTGGAGGCTCTCCCATCAATCATCGCAGCTGGAGATGTGATTTTTTTTTAAAGTCAGATCTCCGCTGCTTTGGGGAGAAAAAAGGTTCATGTGAAAGAGGCATTTTCKCTATGGTTTTGGCATGGTTAAAGGCAAGAGCTGGCTGTCCTTACATCCCCCTCCAAAGGTGTAGCTCCTGCAGCACTCCCAGTAGCGAGTGCTGAAAGCTGTTAAGGTTTCAGGTGGGACACAAAAAACAGCTGCCAAGAGCGAGATCCCCTTTCTTTCCCATGAAAACCCCAGGGTCCCTCCTCCCTGCGGGGTGTGCTCCCGGCTCCTTTACAGTGCCTCCTGCTGCCATCGGGATCCAAACTAYAACCCACAGCTCCATTTCGGAGAGCACCTTCACCTCGAGCTGAACTTGGTGTTTTTCGTGCCTGTGCACAGCCTGGGAGGGGACGGAAGGTCGCTCTGGCAGCGGGCGAGGGCTCCTGCCCCTCCAGGAGGGATGCTGCCCGCGGGAAGAGCGGTGCTACCCCGCTGCAGGGCGGGACGCTCCCCCGCCAGAAGAAAGGGATGCTGAGCGGCGAGCTGGGAGAGATGCTTTCCCTTCGGAGGAAGCAGGCGGCGAGCAGGTGCCGGCAGAGCCGGGCCGGGCCGGGTTGGGGGGCGGGCCGGGGGCTGGCGGGGGGCGGGGGGCTGCTGACAGAGCCCTCCCTGCCGGCCCGGGGGGCGCGGCTGCGGCGGAGGCGGCGGCGGCAGCGCAGCCGCGCGGAGCTGAGCGGAGCAGAGGGATCCCGGGGCTGTCTCGGCGGTGGCTGCTCTCGGAGCCCCCCGTGCCTCGGAGAGGGGTCCGGCTGCGGGGGCTCCCCGTGCCCGGGCGGGTCCTGCTGCGCACCCGCCAACGCCCCCAAACTTGGCGGGCGCGGGGGCGGCSGAGCCGGGCTGCGGGATGCGCTCGGGGCACCGGCTGCTGCGGGATGCGCTCACACGGCTCTGACAGCTCCGCTCGGSTTCTCCCTAAAATAGCCTCATTAAAATAATAATAATTTTTTAACAAGTGCTGCGGGGGAAGCGTGCCCCGGAACCCCCTTTTAATCACCCTGCTCCTGAAAAGCAGAGCACGAAATGAATGCTGTGTGCAGCCCTGCCCGGAGCCCCCGAGCCCGTCCTGCAGAAGTTGGTCTGTTTGTGGTAACACCTTTTTGCATCGTTCMGTCCAAAACGTTCTGATGATATTTCGAGGCAGWGYTTTTTTTTTTTTTTTTTTTTTTTTTTTGGGTTAAGGTTGACACACATCTTACAACATCACGTCTTTGATGAGCACACACGGTGTTAATTGAGGTTGCCATGGGAGGCATGCACGTAGTATAAATAAGCTCCCTTCTTGCCATGTGATTTCGCTTTTGTATTCCTCAAGCCTCCTTTTTGTATTCTCTGTTTTTGCATATTGTCATATGGTGCATTAAAGATAAAAATATCTGCTGTCTCAGGGTGTAATTTCCCTAGYTGGAACTATAAGTGCATATGGAGCAGTGGGGAAAGGATTTAGCAAACCATGGGAGAAAAAAATATGTGTGTGCCTGTGTAATAAGTGTTCGCCATAATATGGGCAGTCATATAAAAAAAAGTCCCTTTTTAAGCGCATAAAATAGCAAAATAGTATTTTCTTACCCAGAACATCACTGGGTTGGCATCTTGTGGCCTTATTTTGCCTTTGGATATTTATGCTAATTAGTGAAAAGAAATTGCTATAGTGCATCCAGCCCTGGTCTGCCTCCCAAAATGAAATGTTTAGAAAGAAAAAACTTTTTATCACTTTTTAAAAATTACTCTGCGGGTCTTATCACTCATCTATTGTGTTCCAGATAAGAGATGAAAGCCTGGGTCATGCTTTGCAGCAAATTTCATGTAACACGCAAGGGGAGCTGAAGCAGAAACCAAAGCCAAGGCAAAGCAGCGTCTGACCTTGTCACTGGGGGGCAGAAAACAGCCGCTGGTTCCACTGGTGCTGCAATCAAGCTCCCTGGGCAATATGGAACTGCAGAGAGCTCACAAAGTGCAAGGTCCGTGGGGTGAATAAAAATTGTTAACTCTTGGCTTGATTTGTCATCCTTTGGGGGAAAAAAAAAAAAAAAAAGGTATATCAGACTGGCCATTATTGAGTGGTTGCTGTTAGACCAAACACGACTGGAAGCGGGTTTTTCTGGAGATGAGAGTGGCTGAGGCCAGCAAAGCCAAGGAGAAGCCTGTTCAGCTCCACGTCTGCCCGGGATTCCTCGGAGAGGTGATAAAGTGAGTAATAAGGCGAAGTGGGAGTCATCAAGCGGATGCGACAGCTCCAGCAGAACTTCTTCTCACCGCCACACACGCTCGTTACAAAGCAGCTAACTTTATTTGGAAATCTATTTGAGGAAAAAAATGCACTTTGAGCATCTCTGCAGTTCTTGTGTCTGAGGCATTGATCAGGAAAATCGGCAGCACAGCGCCAACGAAGGAGAAGAGGATATGGTGAAGGCAGCTAAGGAAATTCAAATGGAGAGCCCAAGAGAGGCAGAGACTCCCAGCACAGGAGCCACGTGTTCCCCACCAGAGGAACAAGCAGAAAAACCCTCCATGCTCTGTTTTAAGAAGCGGAAGAAGTCCTGTAAGAAGGGGTTGACTGTGAAGGATGCGTGTGAAGGAGCCTCAGAGGAGAAAAGCCAATGTGTCAGCACTGACCAAGAGGAGSCAAAAGGTTCTGATCCATCACAATCCTCCAAAGGAGCCTGGGCAGCCATCAAAAACCTTACCAGGCCTCGGAGAAGGCAGAAATCCTCCTCACGAAAGAAGGTGCCCTCCGAGTCCCAAGTACAGCTGGAGGTGGATGCTGAGGAGAGCTGTGCACAAGACATCCCAAAGAAACGGGCCAGCTCTGGGGTGAAGATGCCCTGCGTGAGGTTCTCCAGAGGCAAGAAAAAACCCAGCCCCTCGGAAGCTGTGGAGGAGGCAGAGGGCAGTGCTCAGGCAAATGAAGTGATGGATGTTTTGAATAAGGCCAGCGAAGAGCCAGGGGATTTGGCCCCCCAGGACAAACCTGAATCCTTCAGCCCAGTGTCTGCAGAGGAGGAGCAGGATACAGTGAAAGGGGACCAGGATACTGTAAAGGAAGGTGACACCTCTGTTGGGAAGAGTGAGCCCTTGACAGAGCCCACACCTGATGCAGAGGAACATTCAGAGTGCACGGTTCAGACAGAGATAACTGATTCAGAGACTGTTGGTGAAACAGCCCAGGACAAACTGCAGGAGGGGAGCCTACCCCAAACCACTGACCATGTGGATGGCAGGGAAGGTCCTCCTGAAGAGCCTGTTTCCAATGATCAGCACGATGACACCCCTGAAATCACACTGTGGCAGGAAATCCCCAATACCTGCGAAGAGACGCCTGAAAGGGATGAGTTGGAAGAGAGTGTAAATCTTCCTGAGGAGAGCAAAGCCGAGGAGACTGATTTCAGTGAGCTGGAATCTGGAGGTGATGCAGCAAGAGTGCAGGATGCAGTGAGTGTGAAGGATGCAGTGAGTGTGCAAGAGGCAGCAAATGTCCAGGACGCAGTGAGTGTGAAGGATGCAGTGAGTGTGAAAGAGGCAGCAAGTGTGCAGGATGCAGCGAGTGTGAAGGATGCAGTGAGTGTGCAAGAGGCAGCAAGTGTAAAGGATGCAGTGAGTGTGCAGGATGGAACAAGTGTGCAGGCGTCTGCAAATGTGCAAGAGGTAATAAGTGTACAGGAGGCTGTGAGTGTGCAAGATGCATCAAGTGTGCAAGATACAGTGAGTGTGAAAGATGCAGTGAATGTGCAGGATGCCACAAGTGTGCAGGAGGCAGCCAGTGTGACGGATGCATCAAGTGTGCAGGATACGGTGAGTGTGAAAGATGCAATGAATGTGCAGGATACCATGAGTGTGCAGGAGGCAGTGAGTGTGAAGGATGCAGTGAGTGTACAAGATGCAGCAACTGTGCAGGAGGCAGCAAGTGTGCAGGATGCCAAAAGTGTGCAGGAGGCAGTGAGTGTAAAAGAAGCAGYGAGTGTGCAAGATGCATCAAGTGTGGAGGATACATCAAGTGTGCAGGAGGCAGTGAGTGTACAGGAGACAGCAAGGTTCCAAGAGGAGAGTGTCCAGGATGCAGTGAGTGTGAAGGATGCAGCGAGTGTGCAGGAGGCAGTGAGTGTAAAAGAGGCAGCGAGTGTGCAGGATGGAGCAAGCATGGAGGATACAGTGAGTGTGCAGGATGCAGCAAATGTGCAGGATACCACAAGTGTGCAAGAGGCAGCAAGTGTGCAGGATGCAGTGAGTGTGAAAGAGGCCGTGAGTGTGAAAGATGCAGTGAGTGTGAAAGAGGCAGTGAGTGCACAGGAGGCTACGAGTGTGCAGGATGCATCAAGTGTGAAGGATGCAGCGAATGTGCAGGAGGCTGTTAGTGTGCAGGATACAGTGAGTGTACAGGATGCCACAAGTGTGCAAGATGCAGTGAGTGTGAAAGAGGCAGCGAGTGTGCAGGATGCCAYGAGTGTACAGGAGGCTGTGAGTGTGCAGGATACAGTGAGTGTGCAAGATGCAGCGAGTGTGAAAGAGGCAGCGAGTATGCAGGATACAGCGGGTGTGCAGGATKCCACGAGTGTGCAGGATACAGTGAGTGTGCAGGATACAGTGAGAGTGCAGGAAGCCACAAGTGTGCAGGAGGCAGTGAGTGTGCAGGATGCCACGAGTGTGCAGGATGCCACGAGTGTGCAGGAATGCTCCAGCCATCAGGTGTTAGAAGCAAACACGGCTGCCGGCGTTAGCATTGTCATCACCATCACCGAAGCTGAGGACTCCGACAACACCGACTCTGACCAGGCCTACGAGCCATCCCCAGTTTTGCACCAAAAAAAGCAAAAAGGGAATAAAAAATCGAACAGGAGTGCTGACGTTGGTACAAAAGAGGGCCCCGAGGCTGGTGGCGGTCCCCAGGCRGAGGAGAAAGGTCTGGGTGACCAGGGGCACAGGACTGGGGAGCAGTACGAGCTGCTCCTCGTAGAAACYGCCTCTTCCCTTGTGAAGGCGGCCATTCAGTCCTCCATAGAGCAGCTGGTCAACGAAATGGCCCTGGAACAGAACAAACACAACAGCTTTCTGTGATGGCAGCCTTGGCCCTGAGAGGAAGAGCAGAGGGAGTGATTTAAAGCTCCGTTTGGCCTGCRGGGTGTGCGGAGAACTGGGAGAGCTCCCGGGGCCGCGGTGTAGTCAATTCTGCATGCCCGTTCAGTTGTGTGTCCATGTGAATCGGATCCTGGGGYGTGGGCASACCCTGCTGAGCRCAGCCCTGGGGCTTCAGACAGYGCCACTGACCACAGCTGCGGAAAAATTAAGGTGTTACAGTGACTGTATTTCCACTTTTTGGCATATTTATGTCAAGACCGCGTTTCTGCCGTCACCCATGCCCGGTTTGCCGCTGTTGATGCGGTAGATCTGTACATACCAAGMGCTTGGAGAAAGGTCCTGAGAGGCAGCGAGCGCCCGACCTGCTGCGGGTCTGGATTTGGGGCGCGTTGGAACTGCTGGAGCTTTGCTTGCTGGGGTTTGATTGCAGATGAGGGAGAGTGAAGTGTCTGCAATGCTAACATGAAAACACCCGTGCCAGGCTGRTGCTCAGCGCTGTCATCGGGCCCTCGCCCAGCACGGGCGTCAGGAGTCTCTGCTGTCGCATCAAGCCGGCGGCTCCCAGCGAGCGCTCCCCCTTCACTCGGCTTCTCCCCCCGCCACCAACAGTCTGCGCCTCTCCAGACATGTTAAAGCTCAGCATCAGCCTCGCCTTGCTGACCCCGAGCTGCGCGAATGCCGAGAGAGAGAGACGGCGCTGCGTTTGCTGGGGGTGCCTTTCTCGCACCATTAAACTCAGCGGGCAGAATCGCCTGCGGCATCMCGGGCGTGGGCCGGGCGGGAGCAGCCCTGCTGCAGACAGCTCCTCTCCTCCCTCGCCTTCCTCCGTCCCCGTCCCGGTGTCGTGSTGAAGCTCTCCTCAGATGTAGCATATTTTTTTATACATGGCATGCGATATAAATAGCAGTGAGCTGCATGCGTGTTAGCAGTCAGCATACTTGGGGAAGCTGCAATGTGCTGCCGGCGCTGGGATCGCTTTGATTTGGTCTGAGTGCTGGCGGCAGGCTGTCCCGCAGCGCTCCCCGCTATCCGCACAGCCCTCCTGCCTTCCCCCAGCCCAGGAATCCCTTGGGAATCGCGCATTACGCCCGGCTCGCTGCCACCAGCCTCTGGCACGCCATGCAGCTCGCTCTGAAACACGCAGGGAAACGCTGGAGCAATCTCACCAAAGTCCTCAAGGGAAAAAATCCAGACATGAGGGCCTGAGGACATGGCTGGAAAACGCCTGGACAAGCCTATTGCTGGCAAATCCCACCTGCCCTGCTCCGAGGGGTTTTGCACCGGCTCTCCAGGAGAAAGGGGCCTTTTAATAAAATGGGATTGCATCTGCGTGGCTGGGATTTGTGTCCATCTGTGGGCAAGGCAGYGTGCTCCTCTGAGAAAATTCTCCTGCGTGTTCCTCAGCCGCTACAGAAATAGCAGCCGCGCTTGGCAATTGCTCACTGACCATGGGCGGTGCGCTGAGATTTCCCTTCCCGGCGAGGGATTTGGATTCCTGCTAAAATACAAGGGCTGTACCTGTCCCTCGTACCTGGTGCACAGCCACGTTTTAAACCTKGACAAAACATCTCCGTTGTCACGAGAGGACTGAGAGCAGCAAGAGACAGCGCTCATTTCTGTGCAGTAAAACTTGAGAAAAAAAAACCAGAGGATGGTAAAGAAAAAAAAAGTGTCATTTCTTTTCCTGTGAATTTGTTGATTAAGTTATCAGCTGCTGATAATTCAGTGTGTACAGTTTAATGGCTTTGTACTTCATACTGGTCCTTCCAGGTATTTTGCCATAGTTTTGAAAGGGAATTTTAAAGACTTTAGATGTACCTTTGGAGCTGCCACAGCACCCCAGGAAGAGCCATCCTGAGGCTGGGGTTGCTTATGGGATTTCACTGGGCACTGTGGCAGGCTGGTGCTGAGCAAAGGGCTGCAGCATTGCTGTGGGACCCCACTGGAGTCAGCCACAGAGGAGGATGTCCAAGCTTTAGTTAATAAACACGAAATTATCCCACGGAGCCAGGCTGTCATCTTCTGTCAGCCTGCTAAGCTGTTTTGGGGAGGATTTCRTGTTATTTCAGTATTGCCTTTTAGGCAAAACACGTCTTCAAAAGAGGAGGAGAATGGCAGAAATGCTTAGTCCAGCCCTKCCCTGCCTTGCTCCGTGTCAGGGGGTTGGGTTTGCATCCTCTCTTGTAGCTGTTTTTTCCTCTGTTACAGCTGTACATAGAACTGATGATTATTTCATTAAAGCTGAATGTACCTGTTGTTTTCTTGCCTTGTGATTGAGTGGGCAGCTATGGAGAGATTTTACATGTGAAAGGATTAACTCACAGTGGTGCTCCATTGTGTCCAGCTTTTTCAGGCAGTCATACAGTGAGCAGAGAGAAATCTTAATGTTGGTGGCAGACCCCAATTCTTTGGAGGTTTGCTYCTCCTCTGCCCTTTCTATGACATTTCCTTTCGGTTGCTGGTCAATCACTTCCACCCTGGCTGCCCAGGGACTGCTGTAAGGAATTTGGGATGGATCACAAATCTCTGGCAGCTAAAAAAAGCCATCCTGTTGWCCCATGGTTAAATATCCTATTAGCTGCCCCATGGCACCAGAGGAAAATATCTGAGGCTTCACAGACTGACGGGGTCAAACCCCACTGCCCGTGGAATGGCASAGCTCTGATTCCATGCAGGTGGTGTGGTTTCTCTGTGAGCTGCTGGCTCGTGCTTCCTGCTCCCAAGGCTTGGGATTGCTGTTTCCAGGTGCACAGTTTGGTGCTGGACAGGGTTCAGGATGGGGCTGGCATTTTGGGAGGGGGAGCAGTATGTTTGGTGCTTCAGCACTTTCTGTGACAGCTCAAATGGGCTCCACACCCTAATTAATTTTTTTTTCTTTTTTCTAATAACATCTTTCATGTAATTTCTTGAGACACTTTAAAACATACAGAAAATACAGGGGAAARAAGTTATACATTATTAATAGTATTAATACTATTTATTCTTTCAGGTTTACAGAACAAAATATAGGCTCATATCAGCTGCTAATGACTTAATTAAGACTCTCTACTCCTTCCTTATGATTAGAGAGTAGAACATTAATAAAACATTTATTCTTTCAGAGAAGGMATGATAAATCTACTATTGTGAAGGAGTGCCGGGGCCAGGAAACCTGTGAGGATGTGGCTGTGTGTTTGTGCCAGAGCACCAAAGGGTGGCCTGGCTTTAGAACCATCTCCCTCACCGACAGCTAAGAGAATCTGAAATTATCATAAAATCATGGGATTGTTTAGGTTGGAATAGACCTTTAGGATCACCCAGCACTGCCAAGGCCACTAAACCATGTCCCCAGGAGCCACATCTACACATCTTTTAAATCCCTCCMGGGATGGTGACCCCACCACCGTCCTGGGCAGCCTGTTCCAAAGCTGGACATTCCTCTCAGGGAAGAAATTTTTCTTGATATCAAATCATTTTTATAGCCCCATTCAGATTGCTTCTGAACTGCCTGGCTCCTTRCCCAAAAATTCGTTGCTTGCTGCCCTCTGACTTGTGGAAGTGGTTCTTCTGCTGACCCCACAGGTTGTGCTGCTGCTTTTGTCCCAGATTTTTCCAGCGCTCTCCTCAGTGGGGACAATTCAGCTCTAAGTCCAACAACTTCCCTATCCCTGCTTTGCTGTGTCGTTTTGAGTATTTTCATCTCCCACAGCTTTTTTATATTAGCAGCAAAGAAAAGGGTGTTTAAATAGTATAACTCATTCCCAGAAAGGCTTTCAGGAGGATAAAAAGCTTTTCTGTTGTGTCAACACTGAGCCCAGCAGAAAACAAGTGTATCCATTGAAAAGTTCCTTGTGGAAATCGCCAGTAGACAATGATGGCACAAGCAAATATTGCATTTTCTTTCCTGCCCTGGGACACCAAAAATGGATTAGAAATGCACAGGGCTGGATCTCCAGCTGCTGAAGATCACAGCAGCTCTGTAGGCATCGAAGGACTGACTCTACAGCAGCCAGGAAGTGTTTGGTGTTTGAGCCCAAGGTGCAATCCCTGCATAAATGATGGACATTCTCATATGTGTCATGTATAAAAGTGAAGATGCGGTTGTGGGGGGGTTTTGTTGTTGTTTTTGTGGGGGTTTTTTTCCACAAATGTATGTAAGAAATAGAGTAAATTAATGAAATATATGTGAATCTTGGTTTGCACTTCGGATGGGTGGGTGGATGGATGGATGGATGGATGGATGGATGGATGGATGGATGGATGGATGGATGGATGGATGGATGGATGGATGGATGGATGGAAGCCAGACCCTTCTGACAGACCCACATGTTATGGGCACTGAAGCCCTAGTGTTGTCTGTCTTATAGATAGAACCTTTCAACATGAGTAACTCAAAATGATGAAGTGCTCCAAGGAAACAGATGAATTTAAATAATTGCTTTAATATGATTTTACCTCTGCAGTTCTATCTCCCAGGGAAATGGTTCTTGTCAGCTCTTGTTGGGTAGTATTAAAATAATGATATACTTTTCATTTGCAAAYAGACAGAATCTTAACATTAAATGTGACTTTAAAAAAACACAACTAATCAGAGGATGTTATTTCTTACACAGTTATTTAGGCTACAATATAGGCTAACGTTTTTTTTAGGAGGCACAGCTTTAACATGTCCATTTTTGTGCAGAGAATTGTGAAAAATGCAGTTCTGTGCCAAATGATGGGATTTTTCTGCTGTGGGGTTAAAGTCCATATAGSTAAAAAGTGGGTTTCAGCAAAAATACCCAAACCCAGCATTTTAAAGTAGGTTTTGTTATATAAAAACTGACAAACATGCTGGATACAAAAGGGARGAAGATGGTAAGGAAACACGTTTTGCAATTCAGATTGCTAAGATGAAAGTGTCATCTGCAGCTCGAGCTGGCAGTCACCCTGTCAGCCCTGAAGTTAGACCTCGCAGAGATCTGCCTTCCAAAGCTCTTTGATCTGGCAAAGGTGCCATCCCCCCACCAAGATGGGCGCTCTAGCAGGGTCAGGAGGTGCTTTTCCAGCGCCAGGTCCTTTCCGGTGCACGGAGCATCGCTTTGCAGTTGTCCCTGAGAGACAGTTTCAGTCTGGAGAGGGATGCCATCGTGTCACACTCGCTCTCACCATTTGCCATTTTAATGAAGACACGAGGCCGCGTGTGTCMGGGCCCCGCTGAGGTGGCGGTGGGTGGGAAGCGCAAATTCTGCGGCTCCTGCCGAGCTCCAGAGCATCCCCCGGGAAGGGCGAGCGGCGCATCCCCGCTGCTGCCGGCAGCCCCCGCCTGCCAGAGCTCCCAGACTGCGCCGCACGAAGGCGTCGGGCTCCGGCGCAGCCCAGACAGCCTGAGACTGCATTTGCATCCCATTTCGCAGCTGGAGCAAGGCGGGGAAGGCCGAGGCTCCCCGAGGTGCGTGCGGCAGCCCGCGGGCAGGAGGAGAGGGCTGGGGGCCCGGCTGGCCAGTGCGACAGGCACAACAGGAACGCGCACCCTGCACACCGATCATTAGCGCCCTGAGGAAGCCAGGCACGAAAACAGCCCGATGGGGGATGCTCGGCCCTAATGACAGGCTGGGGACCCGCCCTGCTGGCTCCGGCGGTGCTGCGGGTGGCGGAGGTGACCGCTGCCCGAGCGGGTCCGTCCCGGGATGGCTGCGGGCAAAGGGGACGCGCGGAGCAGCAGCCTCCGCTGCCGGAGCTTCGGCCGGAGCTGGGCGAGGCTGCCCGCCCACCGCTGGCTCCCTGTTTYGATGGCTGACACTGCTGTCTGCCTGCCACGAGGTTCTTCCCCTACATCCATCACCCCCCGGTGCCTCGCCGCCCTGGTTTCCCTGCCCTGGTGCCTGTAGGTGGCTTTACATCCTAAAACCGCTGGCTTGCAAATGCCAGCGATGGCCAGGAGGGACAGAGGGCTTTACGCGGTGTTTTCTGGCACCGTTCGTGGCAGTAACAGGAGGATTCACACGGACTAAACGCTGCCCTGTGCACCCGGGAGGTATTCCCAGCCCCGCAAAGCTTCCCCCAGCCATCTCCACTCGAGTGGAACTCCGGGTAGCAGAGAAGGCTGAGAGCCTCGCCGTGCCTTTGTTCCGAGGGTGCAGCCTCTGGTTGGGAATAGTCGGTGGAAACTTTTCCTCTCGTAGGCCGCTTTTGAAGTTCTGTCATTACTTTTTCTTAATGAAACATGCAAATCACTTAGATGCTGCGATTGCATCTCAGGGGAGCTCGGTCTCGACACAGCTCTGGTTGTAATTATTTAACTGGTGTGTAATTTAGGACATATCCACCCTCATTACATTTTTCCTCATGATTTCTTATTGCTCAGAATATATTTTTCTAGTGCTGGACTGCTGGGAAGCCCACTCTGTTGCAGTCTTTTATGGCAATCCTGGACAAGAGGGGAAAAGAAAAGACTGAGTTTTATTAAACAGGGAATCAGGAGATCATGGCAGTGGTATGGCACGACCTGGTTGGCTGATTTCACAAGAAACCTTTCAGTGTGGCCACTGATAGCCCATGGTCCCATTCAATGAGGCTGAATTGCACACGCTGAGGTCTCTTTTCACTGCAGTTCACYTACACAGGATAAATACTTTCTGCCTCCAAAATACCAGGAAACTATTCAATATCAACATTACACCAGAGAAATGAAATGTCATGATTGCAGCATTTCRTGGCCTTAGTTTTAACTGCAATGCTCACTGCATCAGGTTTGCATCCCAACAGCAATTTTCATTTCCCTGTTCAACCTTCTCAATGTGCACAAATGTCCCAAACCCCTTTGGTGAGGGGCACTGTCAGTCCTTCCACAGCCCCTGCACACTGCCTCTGCCAGACTCTGCACATTTTAGAGACAGTGAGAAAGTGAGGAGCCTGCCCAAGGACTGCTGTAGCTGGATGGCAAGAKATGTTTGTTTTAGCCAGTCTCTGCAGCAGGTAAAAGGAGCTGAAGGGGTTTTTATCCTGTGTGGAGGTGGTGTAAACACGGCCTGGCCATCAGTATCACCTCCAGAGAGCCAGCAGGGGAGTGCCAGAGTCAATCTCCCCTAGATGACCCAAAATTCGAAGTGGAAGAGGTAAAATCTGAGCATTTGTAGGTGAGCACTGAGAGGGGGTGTGTTACCTTGGAAGGTAAGAGGCGCCAAAGTCTTGTTTCTCTGACACTGGCAATTTGGGAAAAATCCAACCCAATGCTTTCACTGTTCAAATGCTACCAAACAGCACCTCCAGCCATCAGGGCAGGTGGGGAAAAGCAAATTTCTCAGTAAAATAACCAGACCCCACACTGCAAGGGGGCACAAATACACTTTTCTCCACACACTTTACTGCACCCTAAGAAGCCTGAGAAACACAGACCCTGTTGGACCTGGCTTTTTCAGCCTCAGAACACAAAAAGTATTTCAAAATATTTCAAATTATTTATCTTGAAATTGTTTCTCCTGCTCTGGTGATTGAAGCAGATACCTCACAGCCAGCATTGTGGGGCCAGCACCCCGATGCATGATGGCAGCCACCACTACATTTAACTGGCATTTCAGAGCTTCACTTGAGCAGGCTGAGGAGTCTGCTCATGCTCAGGGGCTTTGGCAGGGGGGGTCTGAGCCCCAATCTTCTCATCTTTAATAAAACATGAGCTGCAGAGCCCACGACAAGGCACTTCAATGACTGTGGTTCCTCAGCTCAGTATCCCTGATGATGGCACCCCTTCACAAGGAAAATCTCCAAGGATCCCCTGGAGCTTTGGGACWTCCAGCCTTGAAGTATTCCCACCCTGGGGCTTTCTCTGCCTAAACCCATGTGCAYCCATTAACCAGTCGMAGATATCTGGAAGGAATCACCAGTWTAATTATTCTGCAGGCTGTGACAACGTTTTTTAGGTTTTTATTAAAAGAAAATCAAACCCCAACAAGAAATGAGTATTTGCCAAGCCCAGCTGTGCAAGTCAGGCAGATTTCCAAGCATGCACCGGCATAAAGGTTAAGCACTCAGTAATTCGAGTGTCTTCCACATGCAGTAATAAAACTTCTTATGATTTATCCAGGAGCAGCTGCTGCCCTTGCTTAGCAAATGTAACTGCCCTGTAAAATTATTTTCTATTCACAAGACTAGGAGAGAATGATGTTTTTATGTTAACATGACTCSGAGCTGATGGCTTCTGTCTCCAGCTTTTCCTGCTGCTTTAATTATAACAGTGCTTTAACACTTGCAGCAGAAAACTGCTGAAAAGGCATTTCTTGTATTGCAAATGGTGCAAAAAAAAAGCCTTTGGCAGATGTTTGATGTCACAGATGTTCAGTCCCACAAAGGTTAACCAAAGTACAGCCCAGAAGGGGGTGTGAGGATCACAGAAGGCGATCACTTATGGTTGGATCTTTTCAAGGATACAAGGGACACGCACATGAACACAGCCYTGGTTCAGGTGTAATTTTGGGTTTGCTGTCGTGTTCTCAGTCAGGGCCATGGAGTCAGTCCTGCAGCACTCACGCAGAACATGCAGATGAGAAACACTGGGCTCTTCTACCCGAGATCTCAGCTTTTATAAAAGCTCCCTTTCTAACAGGCAAGAAGCGAATGAAACAGTCCTGCCCACGCACCTGAGGATGAGCAGCGTGTCCTAGAGATGCCTTGGGCACTGCTGCTTGCTGTCCCTGCTGCTGTCCCCGATACTGAGCTCCATTACCACCGCCCTTCTCCCTCTGCAGAGACATCAAGAGCCCTTTGACTTTCAACACCAATCACTTCAGGCAAGTTAGGCACCTATTTGACGATCCGAGGTGCTTATCTATTGCCTGAATAGCAGATATTCAGCCCTCGACAGCTCATCTCCACAGCTCTAGCCACCCCAGCAAACAC